GACTTGGCAAAAGCTCAGGGAGCTTAGTATAGTCCAAACCTGGGACCAAGCGATTACTATCTGTTCCTGTCCGGAAAAATGCGCTTCAAGAAAGGCTTGTAAAAATCGACTCTCTCAATTTTTTCCCAATAGGGACAAGAACTTCTATGAGAAAGTCATAATGAAATTACCTTTAAAATAACAACATATTATCAAACAAAACGGTGTATATTTGACTTAAATCGAATCATTGTAACTATCGTAAAGAAGCCCTCAATTTTATGCAAAAATAATGGATTTCTTTTTACTACACCTATTATTATACAACTTTAATAATATTAATATTTAATATTAATCTTTATACACTATATTTATTTTTAAATAAGAAATATATTATTTGTAAATTCATTTTTAATTATATTATAATGTAAAAGTATTTTTTAAAGTAATATTTAAAAGCAATTATGTTATATACATTTGAGTTGTGAAATGATTATCAAATTTTTTAATTTTTAAATGCATATAAAACACGAAACTAAAGAAAAACTATTAAAATTTATTAAATTATTTTTTAACCAAATAATAAAAATTATTGCTTCTACATAACAAAATTGAGTAGTAAAATATGAAATGTTCGGAATCCAACCAAAAATTTTCCGGTTATAATTTAGGTTTGCCACCCACATTATCAATCATTAAAGTTAACGTGTTGTTAACTAAGGCCTAAGTTGCAGAGATAAATTTACAAATCATGTACCATTATAAATCAAGAGATTCTAATAATTTCATTAGATCTAGCATGGATAAAAATTTAAGTTCTCTCACAAAATTGTTGACATTGGATTCAAAAATGTTAAACTGGAACTATAGTTTTATATAGTTATAGTATTTGTAAGTCATTTCCTTTAAAAACTAATGCTGACTTATAACTTTGTAGATCTGTTGTCGTCAATTATTCAGATAAAACGTTTACAAAAAAAGTTTATGCAATGTAGAACAATTCTAATATTATTTTAGCATTAACAATTAACAAATCACATGATTAGTGCTGATTGCTACATATTTGTACATAATGCGCCGCTACATAAAAGCTCAACAAAATATACAAAATTTAAATTTACAAATTACTTTCCCATTTACCTAAAATGCAATGTCTAGACCCAGAAACAAAATATTCAATCATTATGTACATACTTATATGGATTACTTTATTAAAAACCGTGAAAAGAATATTTAGTTTTTAGTATCTTATTTATTTTATTTTGTATATTTTGTATTATAGTTGTATTTTATAATGTATAATAAAAGAATCTTGACAAGGGCGAAATGTTCAACAATACCGAAATATTATTGGTTTGTTTAATTATTTTTTTGTTATTAAAAATTTTATAAATTATTCTAATAATTTTTATGAAAAACTGCACATAATTTTTGTTTATACATGTAATAACTCCGATATATAAATTGATGAAATTCAACTGATTCACATTTGAAATAAACGTATTTTTAACGTTAATATGCACTCATTCTACTGTTGTCAATACATTGAATTTTGTATATTTTTTAAATATTTGACATCAAATAATTACCTTCCACTTTTTACTTTCAAAAAATTTAATTTAATTTAAAACGCTATAAAAACAAACCGCATAGCAAGAAACTTGTGATTTTACTATTTGCACATTTCTGTGCTCAGCATCCTTTTATATCAAATAGATGTATCTGAATCATCCCTAAGTTCAGATAAGGGATGATTAAAATAACAAAATGGTGAAGCTAACTCCGCCCTTTACACAATATGTGCATCAAAATTTCATTTATAATTTTTTTAAGCGATTAACTTGCGTTTACACAATGATTAATACGATTCATGCGTATCTATCTGAATGTTACCAATGAAATTGTTTTGTTGAGTTTTGTGATGAATTGATTTAGATACGAGACGTATATTGATGTGATATTTCGTCATTACGCTTGCAGAATTCAATCACAACTATATAATGTGCTATAAATTTTCTGACAATCTGGCAAAGAAAAAGTTCAAAGTTTTACATTAGTTTGCTGTCCCACTGCCGAATTCAGTTTATTTTTCGTCTTGGTCTACATTTTCAGAATCCACACCAGAATAGTGTATGTTTAAATTATTGATATTTACTAATTGATCTTTATCAAAATTGGTCTACAGCAAATACTCTAAAGGACTAGAAAAGTCTTCACTTTGATATTCATATATAAATTCGGTAACAACATTTTTCTATATCGAAGTGCAAGCGCTAATAAACAAATTTAGCTATATATATTAAGTTTAAAGTCAAAAACTGAAAATTCAAGTGTCAAATTTAAACGCACGTAGCAATTTTCCTCACCGTTAAGCTTATATCTTTCTTGAAGTACTGGTACAATTTCTAGCACCACTAAAGTAGATAATCATAGTTTTTCTAAGGTAATAATATTTTCGTGAAAGAAACCATCACAGAAACTATAGGAAAACGATATACATATATTCAATTTCTATCGAATTCACGTCGCTTTAGTAGAATTATCACGTTAACCACAGATTTTCATAATAAAACCTATCGCATATTCAAAATTTTCGCATATTTAAAATTTAAAAAGTCTTACCTTTTTGTAAAATCTAATTCCTAGATTTCAATGGTATCTTCGTGAGAAAAAAATAGTTTGTCTTATTAGGATTTGATAATAATACACATTAGAACATAATTTTTTAGTACATATAATACAATGACAGAATACATTTAATAATCAAAAAATATAAAAACAAAATAAAATATAACCAAAAGCAATGACAAACTTGTATTTTGTCTCTTATTACATTTTTAACATATATAATCGGGTACAACGTCATCGTCCGATTTTCGTTGAGCTTTGAATGGAGAGCATTTTCTGTTGAATGTTTTCTTGAAGTAATATTTTAGATAAGGTTGATATGGCTGTAGATTACATACAATGCGAAGCTAGAATTCGTTTTGCACTTATATCCCCTATATTTTTAAATAGGCTTACACAATTACAAGTAATTTTTGAAAAATCTCTATATTTATGATAATAAACGGAAATAAACTCGGAAAAAGGTAATATTTTCTGATCGTAATAACAAAGCCTTTTTGCAATTTTATAGTGAATGTTTGAAACATGTTTGTTTTTTTAGTCATTGGATCCAATGATCTCTAAGACAACTTTGACGGTGGGTTCAGTGATGGTAAGGGGGCTCTCCATAAGTCTTGAAATAAATAGTCTAAAGCGTTTATAAATTTACTTAAATATTACCTCGAGAGTGCATATAAGTTAAAATATTATTTTGTAAAAAAACAAAAAGTTTTATTTCAAAAATATAAAAGGTAGACTAAATTAAATAATTAATACACATATTAAATATTATTTGAAAAATCTACCAATGTACAACAATCAACTTCAAGTAAACGTTCTATAGAAGTAAATACTGTAAAATAATACGCCTCCAGGGCCGGTGATTATAAAATCAGAAAAACTGTATGGGCTCTCAAACGATTAAAAAAAGTGCAGTTGGTCAAGATGTGGGTGAATATAGTTTCGACCCAAAGTATATCAAGATAAAAATTAGACGATCAAAAATCGGTTTATTCTAAATCAATAGAGAAGTTAAGATAAAATTTTCATTAAATATGGATTTTGAGATGGTCTTTCTTCAAATTTGGGCCTAAAGATAGTCAACTTTTACATATTTTTAAGTACTTCAAAAACTATGACAGATCCAAAATTGAAATTGGGTGTATTAAATAGCTGTACTATATGCACAAAGGTGCATGAAAAGTAAAAAATAAAATCAGCCTAAAAGTCGGTAATAATAAACAATAACTTTTAATCTACAAATGCAATTTTTTTTAATATATATTGTTTTAAAGAGAATAAAACAGCATTTTATGTAATATATAGCTTGTAATGCATGTAACTTGTTTGACAAACTTAATTTTGTAAAATTAAAAAATTATTAATAACTTTAAAAGCTGAGATGTTGTCTTTTTACAAAACATCTTTATTGAAAGAGAATACGTTCAAGTCAAGATAAAGAAAGATAAAGAAAAAAAACTGCGACGAAATTTTGAATAATTGTGCCTCTTTCAGTAATATAGCAAAAAATCGTTTATTTATCACCATACTAGAGTTGTCCAATATTAAAATCGGTCTAGCTTATAACCTAAATGTTTATTACATTTGTGGTTGCATATTAGCCTGTGGTCATTGAAAGAAATAGTATAAATTATTCTTATTAGAAAATCCATTGCATATATTAATTTCATTTTAATTGTTAAATATAGGCATGATTTTTTATAACAGTTGTACTTCAATTTATTCAATTTAAATTTTAAATTTGCTATATAAATCAAATATAAATAATAAATAGGTATAGTAAAAACAGCAATGCTATAATTAATACATATATATTAATAATTAATATAATTAATAAGTTAATATATATAACCAGTCATTCAAGTGTTTCGACAAAGTGAAGAAATAGTATAATATTTGTTAAAATAAAAGTTAAAATATATAAAAAAAAATCAAGGAACTATATAATTAACTACAAATTATAAAAAAATTTAATTCGTTTAATAAATGTAGCGCAGCGCATTTTTGCTTCAAGCTTTCATGTGATGTTTATGTGTCTATAACTTGATCGATTAGTACAAGAATTATCGAGTGCTAGAAATTAATTTTTTTTAAAGGGATTTTTATCTTACTAAAAACATAAACCAGTGGCTCGTTTATGTAAATCGTGAACGATTTCTTGCGAAAATGTTCTCACTTCCTTTTGTCACTTCTTTCGAGTTTGCCATGCGAGAACGTTAGGCTGTGGTGAGAGAAACTGATGAAAATGAAAAATTAATTTCATATTTTAACTCAAAAACTATATTTAAATTTGTTTTTATTGTGATTTGTATTTAATATAATTAAAATACTAAATACAGTACAATATAAGTATTGAGTATATATGTATTATAATTATTCTTTTTTGAGTTGGCAATTAACACATCCCACTTATTGTTGATGTGTTTCAATACTGTAAGCATCTCTTGAAATATCTGGTTCTGCTTTTCATTTTGCTCAGTAATGAGGCGCTTAACTCTTTCGAGCTCTGACAAATAGATCTCATTCCTTGCCTTTTTGGGTTCCGGTAGTAAAGAAGGCGTTAATTCTACTTGCTGTGTGGACGTTGGAGTAGCAAAGTGGTTATCTACAATTTCTTAACTCTCAAGAAATCCTACCTCAAAGAAATCTGCTTGCCGATATTGTAGAAGAAAACAGAAATGGTTGGTGTTAATATGTAAAACAAAAAACATGTCTTTTATTTACCGGAATGCCTGTTTCAGGGCTATTTTGATTTTGATGCTCTGAACTCAATGCTATCACCTATTTATCTATTCCGTCAAGAGTTTTCGGCCCTTCAGTACTCGGTGGATTGCCTTTTTGGTCCAAAAAGCACTTCATTTCAGCTGCTTGTTTTTCACTGACAGCTTCCAGTCAGCCCAGCACTATACGTAATTGAAATGTTATTTTACAATTTTGAATTTCACAGTGTTAATTAAGGTCAAATAAATTGCATTTAATAAAATAATGATAATAAAATAAAATAAATAAAAAAGTTACTGTAAAGTAAATAATATTATAAATAGAATATTTCCGCATATATATGTTAAGAGTCAGAACAACGGTAACGCTGAAACTTGCAAAATGTTTGTATTATGTATTGCTAATTGTATTTAATTTATTTTGTTAGTGATGTATGTAAAATTAAATGAAATTAGTACAACAAATAGAATTTGTGCTAAAAGTACAAGTTCACTAGACAAGTAAAAATTTATTTACTTTAACTTACATTTTTCCATTATTCTGGAGTTTTATTAGATTTTCCAGCACTTACCTCTTCAGCACAGTTTCGTCAAAAGTTTTCAATATTTATGTGACTATCCGGACCCGAAAATTGACCCCAAGCAATACAAATAGAGAAGGTGCATCTATACAGCTGGTTAATGTCCTCAAGAAATATAAGGCTGACATTAAAATGGGATGGACGGGACAAGGATGCTTTAAACGAGAACATTGTGACATCTACTACAGCTGCCATGAAACAAAGTACGAATTTGGAGTCGGATTTGCGGTAAGTCGAAGGTTGAAAAATTTGGTCTCAACATTTACACCAATAAACGAAAGGCTTGCCAAAATCCGTAAGATGATGACATCAAGGAAACTTTCTATGAACAGCTTGAACAAGCATATGAACGGTGTCCCCATCATCACATTAAAATCGTTGTAGGAGACTTCAACGCAAAAGTACGTAAAGAAGGAAAGTTCAGCTTTCACACCAAAACTTCTGATAATGGAAGAAGGCTGACCCGGATCATTATCTTGTTGCAGCCAAGATCTGCACACGTTTATGTGCAATGAAAAAGGTGCGTAAACAAGCACAGCTACTCGACTCTGTCAGCATCTGAAAAATTCATTCGAAGAAGCCGATATATGCGCGCAATGGAGGGATCATTTCTCGAACCTACTAAATGACGGTAATAGTAATGTGACTGAAAGCGAAGATTATCCTGAATTTACAATCGTTGAAGATGAAATAATCGTCCCGCGTCTCGATCATAATTAAGTTAAAATAGTTATAATGCGACTCAAAAAGAACAAAGCTGCACGCACCAATGGTTTACCGGCTGAGCTTTTTAAAGCGGGTGAAAAAGAGCTATTAAAATGTATGTTACAGCTAATTCGCAACATATGATCAGATGAATGCATGCCCAACGATTGGAACTTAAGTGCGCTTTGCCCAATTTACAAAATGGTGATACTGCAAACTGCGCCAACTATCGATTTTATTTATATAAATCAAATATATTCAGATATATATATTTTAATATTGTAATCATATGTCAAAAATCATATGTAAACAAAAATTCAAATAAAAGTCAAAAATTTCATAAATTTAAAAATGAAGAAATAATTTCAGTGCTTAATTTTGAAATTTCCAACATTTTTACCATTTCTTTTATTTCTGTATTCATTTTAATTTTCAATTTATATTAATTTATATTATATTTATTATTTATTTTTATACAAAATGTAATTTGCTTGCATTATATACACATATACAAAATTTGCTATTTGCCTAAACATAACATTTGACAGATTGCAACAGTGATGCCAATATGTCAGTAAGAGACTTTAGAAAGTTATTTGAAACTTTCTTATGTTGGAGATAATTATTAAAAAATTATCAATGAAATTCATTAAAATAATTTTTGTGAAAACCACTATACGATTTTTTACTGTAAAAAATTGAAAAGTTGTTATTGGTATGCTCATAGGTCAAACGCCTATAAATGCTTTGTAAAAGTATTTTACTATTTATGTTAAAATATTAGTAAGTATTAGTAAGTGTTTTATGTTCACATTGCGATTATAATAATGTCTAAAAAATTTTTTTTTTTTGTCTTTTTAATTATTTATTGGATTTTTTATGAAAAAAGTAAAGGACAATAATTTCATACACGCAAATATAATATTTCTTTATTTGATCATAATTTTTAAAATACAACACTTTATATTAATCAGCCATGCCACGATAGAAAAGGTACGCACTTTACTAATGCCAGAAAAGGAAGAAGGAAAAAAGCAAAAACGAAGCCAAAAGTTATTGTTTGCCAGATGTTAAAATGCTACTGTCAAAATCTCTAGATCAGTGATGCCATACTGTCTAGTTGTTATGCCAAATCTCAAACATTCTGCCCGGCTGGACGGGTACGTTCAGGATGCTCCACAAGTCTGCATATCTTCTGGATAGGTCGCATGTGTTCACCAGCTGTATGCTATGTTTGTGACTACTCGTACCAACTCGTCTTCGCCTGAGTGAAGTTTGATCATCCTGCCAAGCCGCCAATGTGTTGCTGGTAGATTCTCGTGCCGGATAACCACGACATCGCCTATGTTGATGTGGTCACCATTCTGATGCCATTTGGAACGTGGATGCAAAGTTGAAAGATATTCTTCGTGCCATTGTCGCCAAAAATGCTGCTGCATTTGTATTAATTGGCGCCAGTATGTCAATTTGTTGCTAAGTACTTTGCCAATAGGTTCATCTGGTACTGCTAGTAGAGATCTTCCGATCAGAAAATCTGCAGGTAATAGAGCCATTTTGTCGTCACAAGTGTCGTGCAAAGGTATGAGCGGACATGAGTTCAAGCAAGCCTCGACGTGCACAAGTAGAGTATGTAGGTGATCATAGTAAATTGAATGAGTGCCAACAATGTGTAGTAAGTGTTTCTTTGTTGATTTAACGGCAGCTTCCCAAAAACCGCCTTGATGTGGTGCGCCAGGTGGTAGAAAATACCATTTTGCGCCTCAATTTGCCAATTGCTGTTGAGAATATTTATTACGCCAAGCCTGTGAGTCAGCGGCCATTAAGCAATCTGCGCCAATGAATGTAGTGCCATTGTCACTGTATAAATGGTTACATGGACCACGCCGGTTTACGAAACGGGTGTATGCATTTATGAATGCCTCAGAAGTGAGATCTTCAGCTAATTCGATATAAACTGCTTTGGTTATCATGCACACAAAGATTGCCACGTAAGCCTTCCGTACCGTTCGTACAGCCTTGGAGCTAATTTGCGTGTTGAATAGACCGCAATAGTCTACACCAGATCTAGCAAATGGGGGAGATGGGGTGACCCGAGCCTTTGGTGATGTCGCCATACGTTGTTTTAGCATTATGTGTTTATAACGCCTGTAAATCGCGCATGATTATATGCATCGCTTGACCAAAATGCGTGCCTGCAGAATCCAATATTTGTGTCGAATAGTATGTAGCATAAGCTGTATACCACCATGAAATGTGTCTTGATGCACCTGCCATATTAAAAGCCTAGCCTTAAGAAGAATGATTGGATGATGCTTTACCTCTGTCACCCTCCCATTATGTAGGCGTCCGCCTGCTCGCGATATATTGTTCACAGCCGGTCTGATGAACGGGCTCAGTTCAATGAGTTTGCTTTATGGGGATATGGGCTGCGGCTTTTGCAGCTGCGTGAGTTCCGCTGCCAAATATTTCGCTTGCTCTGCCTTGATGTGGTGATTTAAAGCAATGTCCATTTCGCCTGTACAGATGTGTGTATGTGAGCGAATACGCTGATGTGCCTTTTTGCAACGCAATATGTATGCAGTAGTGCTCAATAGCTTGTCAAGATAACTGAACCGATCCAAGAGATCTATGACGACCAATTCATCGCCAGAAGTGTAGTGTGTCTCTAGTGCGAATTGACCTATTGCCTGCAAGTGGTTTTAAGTGGTTTTAACTCGCGTTCCATTATTACTAGCTCTGTTGATGCACAGTTGATGTGATTGGTGGTATTGCCATCCTGGTTTGCTGCCAAATAAAGTACTGCAGCCATCGCTTTGATACTAGCATCGCAAAAGCCGTGAAGTTGTATTTCATTTCCGGGTTGCATGCCTATCGTAAAAGTGACATAAGTATGGTGTAATCACACTTACTTAAAGCATGATATAGATGATGCTACATATCTGCACACCAAGTATGAAGTTCAAGTATGCGCTTTGCAATACACTTTGGAACAAGGTATGCATGCTTCATTTTGATTTATTTTTTACGCCTTCAGAACAACAGCGGTGCTCCGCTTACAGAGTGTAAAATAGTAATCGAAACTGAAGGAATTGAGATGATGATAATACGAGTAGCCACACGTTGTTTATTTCATTATTTTATTATATAAAGATTTTATATTTCTCTTAGAATTAAACACGATTTCTTATTTTAATTCTTAAAACTAAAATTATTTTTAATTTAATTCTTTAAAATGTAATATTTTAATATTTTTATTCACAATATAATTTTTAAAATAGAAAAAATTACTTAAAAAATGTTTTTAGCACAAAATAATTTTTAAAATATACAAACTTCATTAATATTTGTTTGTAGTACTTTTTTTCAAATTTTTCAATTTTTTCAATTATTTTACAATATTGTTCCACTATCTTTGCTCGACGATATACACAAGGAGACATGTGTGCAGATTTAACAAATAATTGAAAAGTTTTAATTTTACCGCATACATGTCCCACACTGAAATTTGATATACTAACTTGCATATAGACGGTGCGATTTGGTAGCACGTATCCTTGTCTGCAAACATGTAGCATCGTCTATATCCTGCATAAAACGTGTGACAAAAATGTTATAAAAATTGAATTTTCTTAAGCAATTTCTATTATTTTTGATCAAAGTGGACAGAGTGTCCATTCTTTAAAAGATATTCTCTGGTTAATGTGTATCGAAGTATACAAAAATGTTTCGTGCGAAAGAAAATATGGTAGCTCTGTTATTTCCAAGAGTGTAGGTATAAACAGCTGTTTTATTAATTTCATAACCTATTGCACCCAGATTTAACTTTCTTCAAAGTTATTGAAAGAATTAACAATGTCGAACTTTCTACAATATTTTCGTTTAACAGTTCAATCGAGCCGTGCGTACGGAAAGCATAACAAGAAATATTTGTTCAAAGATGGTAAAAAATATGAAAAGATCATATATTACCCCAGGTGAGTTTTTTTGACAATATAAGTTATTTTAATTCATTAATTGACTTAAAAGGACTCCTGAGGATGAAGACCCGCCTGTTGAACCCTCAAAATTATTTCGAGTACAACGAATAAAACCAGTAAAAGGAAATCCTTATTGGGAAAAAAAAATACTAAGAGATCTTGGATTGGACCAAAAACAAAGTGATTTTACTGTAGTTAAAAATATACCTGATAACAACGCCAGGCTTTGGAAAATTAAGCATCTTATTAAAGTCACACCAATTACTTTTCCTTATGGCGAACCTACTGAAGATGACACTAAACACACATATTTAAAGGAAAATGGTGAATGTATAGTAACTAAAGACATTGGTCCAATACAAGAACGTTTGCAAGCGTCAAATAAGTATGATTGCGATCCAAAACGTTTAGATACAGACCTGCTAAAAAAGGATGCAAGACTTAAATGGCTTAACCCATGGTGAATAAAATAGCTCTTTATAAGAGTAAAAATATGTTTATTATAAAATCAAATATACTAACAAACTATTTAATTAATAAATGGGATGCATAACTTCAACAGCAACTTTTTTATCTAACGTCTTGCAGCCTGACGTCGCGAACAACCCATGAGTTCGATCATATGTAACAGCATCATTAATTATTGAACTGAAAGAGAATTTTTTTTATTCGACATAAAATTGATTGTAAAATAACATACTCCACTACATTTTCCTTAGGTTTAGAACCCCATTTTTTAAATTCTGTTTCTACACACTTAACAATATGTCGCTTTTCCAATGGCAGGAAAGGTAAATAATGATCGATCACATGAGCTTCTATTAAACTAGTTTTTTTCATGCCACCATCTAAATTGTAAGCAGCTTTTTCTAATATTTGTTCAAAATGTCCAATTCTAGTGTCATCTCGTAGAGTTCCGGAATTTATAACATTTCCTAAACGGTCAGATATTAAAACACCAGCCGTGTTGGATAAAAATATAAATATTGCTTTTGTACTATCTTGTTTGTCTATTAACGTATGGTAATCTACAAGAGACGTTAATGACTCAAAAACTCCTTCGGGCATTTTATCAACTTCATCAAATATAAATAATGATCTAGGGCAATCAGCAATCGCTTTCCGCACTTCTTGATTAATTCTTTCCTTTAATGGGCAAAAAAGTTCTTTTTTTATAAAAACATTACATTAAATGACTTACTTTGTAAATATGAGAATTGGCTTCTAGTGGAAAATCGGCTCTACCCAAATATTTATGAACAAATCTGCTTTTTACTCCTTTTTCGTATAATGCTTCGGCAATTTGATCAGCTACAAAGTTTTTGCCGGTGCCTGGGGTTCCATGAAAGCTTAAAACAAGAGGTTTTCGTGAGTTGTTTTCTGGGCTGAAATGCGCTTGCAAAGCAGGTATTAGATGTTGTAACACTATATGCTGTCCATACAAATTATTGCTCAATCGCGTTTTTAGCTCTAGTAATGTGAAAAAAGTTGCTATTGTAATGAATTTATTTAATAAACACATCAACCTTTTATATTAGCTGGGATTCCTCTCTGATTGCAGCATTCGGAATATCTACAATATGTATTATCTACTAACCCATTGTAAATTGATGGGAACAAGTTAATTATTCCAACTCCCATTGACACTGGATCAATGAAACAAATAACATTTTGTATAGAAATTAAAAATGTTGCTACCCGTAGTATCTTAGACGAATGTAGTTTAATTATATGCATTTTCTGAATTCACTAAAAGAATATTAACTTAAAATACCAATTTTGGTGGCGCTATTTTCTGTTTAGAAAATTGAGTTAAATCCAGATATATTACAAAAATTGTACAGTAAGGAAAAAAATATGACATTTTATTTGGTTATCTAAATTTTCGCAACGTTGCCAAGGTAGCAACCAAAGAAGATAAAGAAGAGAAATTGAGAGGAAATTTTGAATAATTTTGCCTCTTTGTATAATATCCAAAAAAAATCTCTCTTACTTATTCACCATACCAGAATTGTCAAAAATTAAAATTGGTATGACTTATAACCTTAATGTTTTCTACATTTGTGGTTGCATATTAACATGTAGTCATTAAAAGAAATAGTACAAACTTATTATTAGAAAATCTATTATAAATATCAATTTCATTTTAATGACAATTTATCCATTTCATTTCAATTTAATGATATATAGATATGATATTTTATATAAGTTTTACATCAATTTATATATAAATTCTAAATTTGCTATATTAATCAAATATTACTAAAAAATGGCTATAATTATTATTGATGAATTAAATATATACAATTGGGCATTAAAGTATTTTGACAAAGTGAAGAAATTGTATAGTATTTGTTAAAATAAAATTTCTTTTGTATCATGTTGCACATGTACGTACTATACTTATGTATATATACACTGTTAAAAAAATACATTTATAGGAAAAGTTAGCATCTAACAGAGGAGTAATAAAATGTACATATATTTCAAGTTTTAGATTACATTATTTTAATATACTATTTTAAAACAATGAATATTAATATAATGTTGTAACATTCAAAAAAATTGTGTACATAATAATACAATTTTTACATGGACAATAAATTTTTTTCGATGTAAAAAAACATAAAAATTCGTCTACTGTTACGCATTTTTTGTGGTTTTAAGTAATCCTTTCAATGACGTGAAATGCTTTTTGTATATGAAATTCAAGAAAGAATGGGGATCAATTCCATCACGTGAAGTCCGTAGTGTTAAAAGAAATATAAAATATATAAGCTTTTTTCGCACCACCTAAGAGGTATGCTTACTGACCCGTTACCGAGTTTTAGGTGTTCGATTCCCCGATAGGCCTATGCACCAAAATATTTTATTTCAGAAAAGTACAGTATGTAAATACAATTTTAAATGTATACAAAATGTATACAAAATAATATTAGGCGTTTTCTTTTGTAAGCATGTCAAAAAAGAACAACTGCTTATTTTAAAAATAACATATGAAACAACAACAATTATTTTAAGTAGTGCTTAATTTATTAGTTTTTTTGTGACATGCTTACAAAAGAAAACGCCTATTATTATTTTAAAAATGTTTAATATGATTGAAAAAATAACAAGGAACTATTTAATTAAATAAAAATTATAAATAAATTGAATCTATTAAATTAATGCAGCGCATTAATCCCATTTGAAGAGTCAGTAATGCCAAACAGGATCTTCCACTCGTTTCTATATTAATAATCATAAAACCGCCATTAGTTAAAATTCTTAAGAAAGCATGTAACACAGTTTGGAGAAGTATTAAGGAACTTTTAATACAAACATATTAGGTACGAAAAATACAGATCACATTTATTAAACTGCATGTCCAAGCCCTTTTGTCAGTATGATTTAAAGAAAAAACAAACAAAAAACAAAATCGCAAATTGTACAATATATTTTTAAAACACGTTTATAATTTTTTACAGATGTAAAATTTGTTAAAATGTGATTTACATAATTATAAATATTTATATATAATGACAAAACACAACCGAAGTACATTCAAAAATATTAATTTTGCTTCATGATTTTTCAATTTTCATAATTATTATTATATTATGAAAAAATAATATTCTATTCACTTTATTTTACTACTTCCCACGCACTAAATTATAACTAACTGCACAAATTAATTAGAAATTAATTATATATACTGCTTTGACACACATCTTAATTTCTAATATGCTAATACATTTAAGTATTTTAATTAAGTAATAATTCGTATATTTTTGTGAAAGGATTACCTTTTAATGCCCCCCTAAGCGCGAAACTAAACAAGTTATTCAGGGAGTAATTATACAAACAAATAAATTCACTAATTTATTGCCGTCTTCTTCTGCACGCAAAAGTAATCTTCTCAATGCGCATGCGCAGTTAAAAACGTCATGGACTGCCGAATGTGGATCTTCACTGCCAAATTTTCCATCAACAAATGTTGCACATCAAAACAGCATAAAAAACATGTAGCAAAGAAAATGTTGCGGAAAAATGTTTGTAATCAAAAATCGACAAGTTGCGCAACAAATAAATACGAACATGAATCTATCAACATTGAAGATAAAAACAATATTCAAAATGCTGCTAAACAAGACAGCGGCAATAAAATTTAGACAGGAATAGATACATTCTTGTTACAAAGATACAAAACCAACTAGTCAAGTAACTAAACAAACAAAATTAGTAGAAAATCGCACCTCCTTACATAAAAATAGATTTGAAATTTTATCAACTGATGAAAGCGAGAATACTGACAATAATACCAAAACATATAAACCACCTTCAATCTACTTAAGGGAAAAAAATTCGAACGTGCTTTTAATGGATGATGGATAACATCCATTATCGACGATAAACATTTCTATGTACATGATTCCACTCTTGAAAGGAAATGTTGATAAAACAAAAATCTAAATAAACGACGAATTTAACTATAGAAAAATTATAAACTTCTTTGATGCCACAACAAAAGCTACTACACCTATCAGTTAAAAAGTAGCAAAGGTTTAAGTGTGGTAATTAAAGGTATAGAACATTTCGTAACAGAGTCTGGTATAAAAGCAGCCTTGGCAGAAGCCGGATTTGAAACAAAGTCCATCTTTAATATTAAAAATAAAAATAAAACACCTCACCTAATATTTAAAGTAGAACTTGAGCCAAACGCAAAAAAACTCACTAAAGAAGTAGTGGATCCAATGTACAATCTTCGTTATCTTTTACATCGATGAAAAGATAAAAGTCAAAGAATCTTTCAAAATGCAAACGGTATAAGCAACTACGAACTTGAAATTGAATATTTATAACCACAATATAGAAGTCCAAGACTTTCAAAACTTTTTTAAAACACTCGGTTCTAAATTTCTATTCGCAGGCGATTTTAATGCCGAGAACACATTCTGGGGTGCAAGGCTAATAACATCAACAGGACGAAAACTTCTAACAATTGTGAAATGTAAAGATCTCGATGTTATTTCAACTGGACAGCCAGCAGAATATAAAACCATCAACAATCACTGCGTTTCCATCAGTTGAACTGTCATCAGACCACTCACCAATAAAAATAACAGCACACAGTCAACAGAATAGAACTATCCAAACGCAAAGTCTAACGAAATATTTAAACTGGTTAAAATTTTGTAAATATGTTTCTTGCCATTTACCACAATACGCTTTGTTAAAAGATGAAAATGGAATTGAATGCCTGTGTTAACCAATTTTCTGAAGTAATCTCAACGGGTGATGAAGTAGCTTCGATAAGAACAGAAAAAAACAACCCAAAAAATTTGTGTGACAAAAACAATAGAGACATTATTGCAACGGAAGAGAAAAGCTGTTAGACTATGGTTACGGCATAAATCCCTAAAACATAAAGTTTTACTTGCTAAATGAACTAATGAACTCAAATATGAAGGACATCAAAAGTCCCTAACAATTTTCTATACAATTTGTCACTCAATGAACAAACTGACTATTCTCTTTGGAAGGCAACAAAGTACTTCAAACAGCCTATCCAGCATGAATCTCCTCTCAGAATAGAAAATGGTGACTGGACACGAAGTGACTCTGAGAAAGGGGACATATAGTAAAACATTTGAAAAATGTATTTACCCCAAATGATGCTTCAAAAAATACCTCTTTACTAACAACAAACCTATGTCATATTCCTCGAGCAGTCAACTTATCTTTAAACTGGAAAATATTACTACAATTATAAAAGATCTCAATGCGAAAAAGGCAGCAGGATCTGATAAAATTTCAGTTGCGATGGTTAAGCAGTTACCACAATGTGTCATTATACATCTCAGGCATTTATTTAACGGTATCTTACGGACAGGTTATTATCTCAAACTTTGGAAAATGTCCTGGAAAGGATAAAACTAAATTAGAATCTTACAGACCAATTAGCGTTCTTCCAGTATTACCATAAATATTTGAAAAGCTGCTAATAGCAAAAATAATGCCAATGCTCTCAGCTAACGAAATAATTCCGGAACATCAATTCGGCTTCAAAGCTAAACATAGTACAATTGAACAAGTGCATATTATTGTATCATTCGTTAGAAACTCATTTGAAAATAAACAATACTGCACTTCTGTATATATAGATGTTGTCCAAGCGTTTGATAAAGTATAGTACGAAGGCTTAATACATAAAATTACAACTCTCATGCCAGCTAACATTCACCTTTTATTGAAAAAATACTTAAGCAAAAAACTTTTAGTTTAAGGTATAAAGATTTTGTTTCAGAACCTTGTCCTATCAAAGCTGGAGTTCCCAAAGGACGTGTCATTAGTCCGCTATTATATCAACTGTATACAAGTAGGTATAAGAGTTTGATACGCTATACAAATAGCGTATCAAATTCAATGAACAAAAATGTACCCATGTAACATTTGCTCTAAGACTAGGCAACTGTCCCAATATCACAATGAACATAAAGTACCCTCAAGCGACTATGTAAAATATTTAGGGATACATCTAGATAGACGTTTAATCTGGAATAAACACATAGAAGCTAAAAAGACACAAATAAATATAAAACTAAGTTCATTGCATTGGCTTTCGGCACGTCAAAATTCTGCCATACAAATCGTTCTAATGTGGGGAACACCGATGCCATCAAATATTGAAAAACTGCAAAAGCTGCAATCTAAAATCCTAAGAATGATAACATGTGCGCCGTGGTTAATAAAAAATGCTAACCTTTCTTTTAAAGTTAGAAAATCACCCTAACCAATCAGCGTACAAGCTCCTACTGAACAAAGACCACAAATGTTTAAAAAAGAAGGACACAATTAACATCTGATAACTTTCTAAATT